TGTTGTATTTTGTGATCACGATACATAAACATCTGGAAACATATCTCTGTAGGGTTTGTTGTCGAATTGTAAAAGCCCTTCAAATCCAGAAATGCCAAATATATATATATATATATATATATAAAAACAACTAGTAAGGTTATGCAAGATTAATTGGGTGAAGATAATTTACTAGAAATAATTCTATTTTACCAATATTTAATACTGCGAATAAACACAAGAATTAGAAGAAAAATTTGTATTGGAGAGAAACTAAGCTTGCTAATGTCCTTTGTTTTTATTATTATTAATTATAATGCAAAATCTTCTGCAATGATCTTTATTCAGTGAGCAATTTTATTTTATTTTAGAAGATGGTTGTTTCTAAAGGCCTTAATTTCAATGTTGATAAAATGTTGCCTATTTTTAATAGTTTTAAAGTATTGTAAAATATCCTTGAGAAAAAAAGTGGAAGTTTTATTCTTACCCCCTCATATCCTCCTGGCATCAGTTTAAACTGACACCCCTGTTTTTATTTTCTATATCTATATATATATTTATTGTGGGCATTTTGCTTAAAGTTTGTATTTTCTTAATTTCAAATGAAAACTTCAAAATTATTCCAGTTAAACTTTTACTTTCCAAAATTTATAGTTTATGATGGCTGTTTAGATATATGAGGGGGGTCAGTTGAAACTGATGCCTAGAAGATTTAACATATACAAATTTTGGACATCATTAATGGTCTTTTTTACATAAATATATTTATATATATATATATATATATATATATATATATATATATATAAAATTAAATTCTAAATTTTTATTTAGAGATTTTTGTGGAAATTGTAGAGTTTCAACAAAAAAAAAAAAAATCACATTTCACGTTTTATTTAGAAATTTTATTCAGCAATGACTCAGGTGTGTCCAAAAATTCCAATTTTTAACATCTATTTCACCATGCTTCCATTTGGTCAAAAGGCCAACCAATATACAATAAATATTATTAGTCTTATCAACATTTGCTTTTTTTTTTTCTTTTTTTTTTAAAGGCACGTTTGAAATCAACTGAAGAAAATCTGCTTTTATCTGTGAATATTTTAAATTGACTTCAAGGTTAATGAAGATCTTTCTTTGACAAACAAGAGTAAATGATTGTCTTGAAATTCCTTTATTTTTTATATATATATATATATATATATATATATATATATATATATATATATATATGCTCCCTGGAATGTTTATTATGCGAACCACATGATCTATTTAACATTTTGCAAGGGTGCAGCAAAAAAGAAATGTTTTGTGAATGAATGTTTTATCTACATTGTTCGAACTGTTGTTCTTTATTGTCATATTCACAATGTTTTGCCCACTGTACACTCCAGCCATCTTCAGGTGATGTACATTGGAATTTCGAACCAAACCCTTTATTTAGTTCACAGGGGTAGATTGTTCTAGTTCCACATGCCATGTCTTTTCTGGATATCTCAGTCCACAAGGACACATAGCCCGGTGGATAAAAGTGTTAATTGAAATAATCCAAAAAGTGACTTGACCCAAAAAGTTGTGAGTTCAATACCTGGCTAAAAACTTGGAAAGTCCAGATACTAAAGGAAATTATCTGATATTGAAATATACAAAACAGCATGTCACGGAGTTAGAACAATCTACCCCCATGGACAAAATAAAGGATTCCGTTCAAAATTCCAATGCATATCACTTGTAGAAGGCTGGAACAGACAACAGCTGAAATGTGAATATGACAATAAAGATGAGGACAACAGCCCAAACAATGTAAATAATTACAATAGCTCATCTCAAAAATATAGAGAGAATAAGTTTTAATTAGCCCTCCTGCTTTTTTTCTTTTTTTTTTCTTTTCTTTCTTTTCACTAACCAGCATGGCATGATTCTGATGCTACAGCCTTTTTCCCACAGCCCAAATGTTGTTAGCCTTTGCTATCCCTATTTTCATGGCAGATGTTCAGGCAAGCTACATTCTTTGGTTCCACCAGTTCAGACCTTCACAACTAGGCCTTGCCATGCCACCTTAACACTGAGTGGGCACATCCTTATTCATATTCCATTGGCAAGGATGTAGTTCCACTCAGACAGCTTGTTCCTCAGAACTGTTACATTGTGGAATGAACTCCTGAAAGGATACATCCCAGATCTTACAATCTTGGCCTCATCAAGTTGAGGTTCAACTGTTGTCTATCCTACATATCTTTATAATATGCACCTCTAGCTCCCTCTTTGTATGCCCTTACAACATCCTCATTTTTTCTAACCCAGTCAAAGGCTCTTGGGCCATATATTGGGTGGACAATATGAAAAAAACAGGTTACTTGTTTATATTTCATGTTTCTGCAGAGAGGATGAAATCTGGATGTGGTCCACGAACCATAATTTTGTGGTCTGCATTTCAAAGAGTATCCTCTATTTCACTTAAATAATTCCCAGCAACTTAGATAAAACTGTTTTGAATACTTCAAATAATTATACAAATACGTTTATGCCAATTTGATTAAAACCAGTACTTTGTGATATGAACTAATACTAAAGCTACTTAAAATGTTCGTGGATTTTTATTGTGACCAACTGGCTGAATCGACTTCACCATTCACTGTACCAAAAGAGATCTTTTGCCGTGCAACACCCAAAATATTTATTGTTTATTGTAATTCTCAGCTTTGTCATTTAAGCAAGCATAAAAGAAAAATATACCTTCAGTGAGGTTTGAACTTTCATCCTTGGAAGCCTCTTTTACTGTCACAATGCCTTACCAGTTAGGCTAGACAAGCTCGACCAGTTGGTGTCATGCAAGCATATACCTATATTCCTTTCGTCTCTAATCTCCACTCTGCCACCAGATTTTATTTACAATTACAGTATTAGATGTTATGCTTTCTAAGAGGAAGGAAGAATTTGTTATTTACATTCAGACTTAATATCTTCATCTTTATTGTTATCCCAATCACCCCCATGGAATAAATTAAAAAAAAAAAAAAGTAAAAAAATTCCCTAGGGGTTACCAGAATTAGCATACCCCTAAAGAAGGCATGTGAGAACAGCAGACACAAAGGCACAATACCAATGCTGAGGGTATTAGTTTGAATGTAAATATTCTTTGCGGGTTTTTTTTTTTTTTTTTTTTTTTTAGATGAAGTATTGTCACCATTACGGATCTTGAATCAAAGGGTCTAAATTCAGAATTGTCCTTCTCCAAAGCTTGAGAGCCTAGCCGAAAGGGGAAAGATGGATTCATGCCTTTCCGAAGAGAATGATTGCAAAATGAATCTGGCTTGGCTGGAATTTGAATTTCTCATCCATTTCATTTTCTATGATGTTACACCTCTTGCATATCAATATTAATCGTATCAGAGGTTTGTTTTTAATTTTCAATTTATACTGCTTGCTTAAGTCCTGGAATAACAATGACCTGTGAGTTGCAATAAAAAGCAAATGAAATTAAGATGAGAGAAATACTAGTCAATAAGTGTTGACAATACTTCATTTAATATTTACGTTACATACTCAATTCGTAAACAAACAAATGACAACTTTAATAAATAGATAACTTTCAATAAAATATACAACCATATTATCTAAATAAACAATAATTACTGTATCATGGTTGCAGGTTTTTCCTGAAACATGTCTTGAAAGTTTGCCATACAAAGTTTAGGGTTCTGCTAACCCCAGAAGAAGGTTATCTATGCCAGAATTCTAAACTGAATTCCTGTAGGTTATGCAAATTTTCAAGACTTATTTCACGTACAAAAACAAAAACTGACCTTGATTCCGGCAAAATATTAAATAATTGTTACTCACACCTCCTTAACATAGCTTACCTGTGCCTTTTCTATATTTTCGTGGTAATTGCACTGATAAACATTCTTCTTTGGTACCTTATCATTATGAATTTAAGCACAGAACTAGATTGACAGCTTGGTCTCATCATTTTACAGTTGAAATGGCTACATGTAAGCCGTAAGTTCTATGCTAACAGTTTCTTCTCTTGCACTTCTCACTTGTGGAACATTTCCGGCTTCTTGCTTTCCAGTCAAGTTAGATCTTCAAAAACTTAAATGCAATGTCTATCATTATTTTCTGTCTTCTTAATTCCTGTTCTTTTATTGTTTTCTCTCCTTAGTAATGTTTTTCTTGTATTCTTTCCCACCCAGTAACCCTTTGTGTCTTAGTGACTTTATAGCCTTGCTTGGCATGAAATGATAAAAAAAAAAAACTTAATGAAAATTAATATATACGTTTTGGAGATGTGTATAGATGTTTATTTTCAATTTCCTACAAATCTGGAGAAAAAAAGATTTGGTAGTCGGGGATTGGCCTCATGCATAAATCAAACAGTATTGTAAATACTTAGCAATTTTTAGAAAACATATATTTTCACTAAAATGTTGGTTGAGAGCTTAGATATTTATTTAAAAGCTATAAACCGATTTAGGTGCACGTAAACTTTTGGCGGGGGGGGGAGGAGGAAACAATCTACATTTGTCTCCTATTACATTTCCAAATTAAGGAAATATTTCTGGTTGATCTGCATTTGGTTGGGTCAAAAGTAAAATAATTTTGAAACAATATAAGTTTGATGTTCTTCCATTAAAACCAACGAAGATTTGGTGAAGTTTTTCTTCACAATATTTTTTTTCTTTTCTTTTTCCTTAAAAAGAAGTTGTAAAACCATTTGCTATGTTGATGATCATTCTTGCAGGACCATTTCTTACCTTGGTATCATGTTAACTTCCAAGTATTTGCTTATTACTGGTCTACAAATCTGGCAATGAATTTTGTGCTTTAAGAGACAAAATGTGTGGATTTTGGGATTCTAAAAATAATTATTATAATAAAATAAAACAAAAAATTGTTGCAAGATTTAGTCTTCAAATTTTGAATTTAATTTTTTTTTTTCTTTTTCTTTTTTTTTTTTTTTTTTTTTTTTTTTTTTTATTCCATTTGCATAAATCTCCAAATATTACAGGGCTTATGGGCATGTCACATTGAAACACTAGTTACCTTATGATCACAGAAGTTAAGCAACATCAAGCCTGGTCGATACCTAGATGGGTAACTGCTTGGGAATACCGGGTGCTGTAAGCTTGGATGTGTGGGTGATGTAAAGGATGATGGCTTGGAATTGGTAATCGGAGTGTTAAGTTCCCATACAGTCACTGAAGTTAAGCAACATCAAGCATGGTCAGTACTTAGATAGGTAACTGCTTGGATGTGCGGGTGATGCAATGTATAACAACTCCATTCTATACAGGGTGATTGAAAAGTAACTCCCTGTTTTATGTAGGATGGACTCTCCTGTCTAACTATAATTTTTACAAGACTGTAGAGTCCATCATACATGAAATAAGGAGTTACTTTTCTATCACCCTATCACTTACATGCAAAAGGTCTGAATCCATCTCTTTCTCCCCCAGCTATGGGTTAATTATATCACTAAATCATTATCTCAAAAAAAATTCTTACAATCTAAAAATATTTTCTATCTTTAAATCTGCAAAAGTTTGATAAGCTGTAAAAAAAAAAAAAAAAAAAACATGTCAATCAGACAAGTATTAAAAACTAGCTGTGATGGCTGGTATTGTGCAGGCTTAATAATCCCTTTAATTTCTTCTGCTATGCAATTGTTTCGTTGGAAGATTTATATATGACATTAAATTGTATCAACAAAATAGCTATAATTAAAACAGTTTGATAGCTTTAAATTAGGTACCTCCAATGATCAGTAAAAAAAAAAAAATAACATACCATGATGAAAAAATGTCCCAAACTTAATAAAAACAAACTTTTATTGTCGAAATCTTTGTTATTAAGAGGAAAGACCAAAGGATTTTTTGATCCCTTTATAGGGCATTCAAAATTTTGTTTTGACGCAAAGAAGTCTGTGAGGGTTTTGCACAAGTCTGCTTCATTGGTGAAGGATTTCCCACGAAGATGATTATCCAGGGAGTGGAAGAGGTAGTAACTGGATGGCGCAAGGTCAGGTGAATAAGGTGGATGGCACAAAGTCTCCCACCCAAGTTGCTGTATGGTATCCCTGACCACTCGCGCGACATGCGGCCTGGCATTGTCATAGAGGAAAAGCACACCTTTGCGATTCACCAGTGCTGGCTCGTTCTGGCGCAATGCCTGTTGCACACGTTTCAATTGCTGCGAGTATAGGTCTCCAATGACCGTTTGGCCCATTGGTAGCAGTTCATAATGAACCACTTGACGACCTGTCCACCAGACACAAAGCATAATCTTGCGTGGGTGCATAGGCAATCTTGCAGTGTGAGGGACAGCATCCTGAGGAGACAGACAATGTCTGGAACACTTAGGAGTTTCATACAGAACCCACTTTTCATCACTGATAAGCACTCTATTGAATAAGGATGCAGTACGGTGGTGAGAAAGCAGCGATACACAGACTGCCACTCGTTGTCCCTTGTGGACCTCCAACAGCGTTTGCGGAACCCACTTGCTCAGTTTGTACGTCTTACCTAGGCGGTGCAGGTGAAGTCTAACTGTTTCATCGGAAACGTTGAACTGTCTTGCAAGTTCACCACTTGTTAGACTACTGTCCTCTTCAATGGCCGCCTTCAGGACTCCATCATTCAACACCTGTGGTCGTCCACTGCAAGGCTCATCATGGAGAGGCAAATCTCTTGACTTGAATTTTCGAAACCAACGCCTTGCAGTACGTTCATCCACAGCACTATCCCCAAATGCTTGACATATGTGGCGACTTGATGCAGCTGCTGATAAGCCCACTTTGAAGTCGTAAAGCAAACAGCCCCGAACGAGATCTCTAGATACTTCCATCCTTCTCACAGCTGTCCAGCTTATAACTGATGGCCGGGCACGGTGCGCGTGTTTTTTATAACGTCTGATGTTCCTACTTCTGGCTGTCCGAATTTGAAAACAATTGCTACACGCATTTCGTATATATTTCAACTTCATTCAATGACTAATCTAAAAATGGACAGAACTTTTTTGGTTACCTTGTAAAACTAAAATTAAAAATTCAAGAAAGATTTTTCATTTTTTAAAAATAAATTTTAAACCTCAGTTATCACGTTTTTTATGAAGGTACCTATTTTAAACATTATGATAATTGTTTATTTCATATTCACTATATTATAATATTTGTTAAATTTTCAAAATCTCTCTTTCACTCTTTGCGTCTTAGTGGCATTATTGCCTTGCTTGGGGTGAAATGATTAAAAAGAAAAAAAAAAGGTCTTCATTGTTTATTTTCCTTTTACTCTTAAATCTTTGGTCTAAATGCTAGCAGTGTTGCCACATCCAGGATAGAAAATACCTTTATTTGAATAACTAAACAATTATAAAAGCCATCAACAAAACAAAGATCACAAAAACCTGAATAAGAAGAATAACTAAAGTTATTTTTTAAAATTTAACCTGTGACACCAAATATTCAAATTAACAATTCTTGCTCAATGTAGATAACTAAATTGAGCAAGATATAATACACATAGATGATTTTCCAAGTGTAGCTTATTTGTGGCACAAAGCCGAAAGTATGGGGCACCCAGTGAGGATCAGACTCGCTACTCAGTTGTAACTGTTCTAGCAAGACAAGCTTGTTCACCATTACACTGCCTAGAGGTGCCCATAATACACATAGATATATATAAAACTTAATTTATTAGGTATCGGGCTTTTATAATATTTGCACATGTATACAGACAGTGACCTTTAGATGCTCGGGGTTAACCCTAACCTCTTGCAGATGCACAGACCTTTTTAATGCATGCTCACTGTCAATTGAAAGTGTTACTTTCCTTCTCTTCACTTACTCAAGTCTCATAGACACATCTGGGGGTGTATGGGACCCAAAAGCTCTCAACACACTGATTGTTGCTGCCGTGGTTTCAGTAGCAAGTAGGTTTTTATTGGATGGAGTTGCTAGCCCTATGCCCGACTGGATTCAAATTCAAAGTTGTCTTTCTCCTTTACTGGTTGCTAACCAAGGCTGAAAACCCCAGCCTGCCCTACTATTTAGCCCATAACTAGAGGTAGAAGAGATGAATTCAAACCTTTCCAAAGAGTATTTGCATGAAACTTAATGTAACAAATTTAACTAGAATTCAAATGTGGCTGACTTCATTACACCACCTGCACGTCGATAGTTTCATATTCAGTTAGCTGAAATTAGTAAAGATTTTGGCTGCTTTAATTTTTATTATATTTATGGTTGATTATCTTACTACAGGGTACCCCCACAAAAAACAGGAAATTTGTTACAGTTTATTTAATTGTTGGAATTTTTATTACAGTTTGAAACAAAAGCAAAGGATAGAAATTTAGTCGCTTAAAACAAAATCACAAAAGTTAGATGTGGTCTTCAAACTAAAAAAAATATTTTTTTTTTTATAATTTAGTTAATTTTTTTTAATCATATAGTAAATCTAAAATTTCCTGTTTTGTCTTTGTGGGGCACCTTGTAGTTTATCCATACTATCAAAAAAAAGATGGAAAAACTTATATAATTTTGCAATTGCAAAACAAGGATTTTTTTTTTTCTGTGCAATGAACTCCATTTTCACGTATAGGAAAGTATTCAATTTTTTTTAAATATTAAAAGTAAAAAAAATATCCAAAGAAATCTTAAAAGTAAAAAAAAACCTGTGTATCAGCAACCTGATCTTCCCTACTTATTAATGATTTATTATTGGCATTGAATAATACTTCCTGTTGCCCTAATATCAGAATATTTTATCACCAAGAAGAGATAAAACTTTTATATAATAGATTATTAATTTACTTTATGGTTGCATTTTTATCACAAAACTGCATCCGAGACATTCTACAATGATGAAAGTAAACAATGCAAAACTGAAAAAAAAGGGAAGTAGCTTCCAATAAGAGTTGAACTTGTATCTCGCAATTAGCACATCTTTAATAGACATCACCTTTAATATTCTCAGCTGACATGAAGTGGAAAAACTACATTGCAGTACTAGGTCAGCTGCCAAGAAAAATGGTTCACTGTGTCATGCAAAACAATTTTTCTCTCTAGTATCTTGCGTATCTATAAGTCTACCATTCATCCATGCTTCGAATATTGCTGCTTCATATGGTTTGGTGCCCCTGCTATATACCTTGAGCTCCTTGATAAAAATCCAAAGAAGAATCAGCAATATTATTGGTCCTGATCTGGCGTCTCGGCTTCAGTCACTTTCCCACCACCTTAAGGTTACCTCAATGTGTCTTTTCTATAAATATTTTCATGGTAATTGTTTGAATGAGCTCTTTGCTATGATACCTAGACTTTTTTTTTTTTAATTTAAGCACAATACTAGACTGGGATCAAGATCTTACCATTTTACAGTTGAGCTGTCAAGATGTAACCCCTTTTGGGCTCTATTGTGATTGGAAAGTGAAGCCTTGGCAGCTGCTTCCCAAATATGATAGCAGTATGCCATTTTCGGCCTGATCTGGCTCTTGTAAAGGATAGCGGGAGGAGTGAGGTACCTGTTGGAGTGGTACAGTGAACCGACTATTTTCACAGCATCTCTACTGATGCATTGTATGCACGAGTTTCACTTGAGCGATAGGGGTGAGTTCAAGTCCTAATAGACACTCAAGACACACATTCCCACTGAAATGTTGATGGGAGTTGAAAAATACAGGTTTATGTTCTGCTTTGTCATAATGGATGAAATGAATAAAATAATGTCCATGAATGACAAACCCAATTAGGCATGGGGTGCAAGTCCAAATCTTCCAGAAGCTAATTGATTTCCAATATCACACGTTGCTCGAACAAAACAGTGATAAAAAATTAACAGCAAGATGGAATGAAGCCAAAATAAAATCATGAAAATTCTTCACCAAAAAAATTTCTCAATTTGCTTCCAATGTCAAAGGATTTAATCTAAATAGTGCTGTCGTCAAATCGTAATAATATCAATTAAAACTAGTAATTAACATAAAAATAATGTTAAAACGTTTATTAACCCAGGGTGTTACTTTTCTTGCATGTGCCAATAAACTTAATTATATGGCTAACAAATAATTTACAAGGAAGTGTTGAATTTTTTAATCCAACATTATACCTCATTATTATAAATATTTGAA